CCCCAAAACCCCAAAACCCCAAAACCCCAAAACCCCAAAACCCCAAAACCCCGAGTAATTTGTAAGAAACTGAAAAAATAAAATTTTATTTCTCAAATATGAATACTCAAGGACATCAAAAGAGTCTTCTGACATATCTTTCTCCTACTGAAAGCTCAGCTAGGAAGAATATTCATGTAGAGCCAATGCTCGATGAGACCAGTTTCTCATCCACAATCATGGCTTACGAGGCAACCCCGACTAAATAGAACGATTACTTCGGAAAGAGTTAAGAAGGTTCGGAGCTCTGAAAGAACTGAAAGTTCAAAATATGTTGTTAACAAATCGACTTCTTATAATAAATCTCCAGTTAAGGTAACCCATACCAGAGGTCGTTCCAGAGGCGGAGTCATTGAGAAGACCAAGGTGACCACTACTACGTACTCTCCAGATGCCAAAAATACATCAATAATCAGAAGCAAATGCTCTCATAGAAGAAAGAATTGCTGCAGTGCAAAGAAAATGGTAAAAACTGCTCCCTCAAAAGTCGTAAAGACGCGGTCAACTTCATACGAATTCACCGACCCGAATCGGATTCCTGTTGATTTTGATGACTCTCAAAAAGTCAAGATCAAGAAGAAAAACTACACAAAGTTGATAAATGCTTTTGACCAGCCCAATAGAGGAAAACAACAAAAACTAGAGGGAATTTCGAGATCCCTCAAAAGAGCTGATGAGCTCCGCTTTGATGTTGATAATTCCGACATCAACTCCTACCTCTCCACCCTGATCTGCAACAGGATCGACGAAGGCAATGAGATTGGCGATAAGAGAAACTTCATGCCCAGCACAGAGGTCCCAGACCTTGAGAGACATATCACTGATCTCAAAAAGGAACTCAACCAAAAGAGACGGATTCTCGATAAGTTCAAATGGACTTCAAAGAATAAAAACGAAAGTTTCAAAAAAGTCAAAAAGGAGATGAATTCTGGACCAGACCACATGCAACAGATCAATAGTAAGAAAGAGCAAGACTTGAAGCAGTACATTTCACATCTCAAGGAAATCAAGCTTTCTCTTGAAAAGCTTGAGCCTAAATCTTCCTCCTCAGGGATCGACTACCTCAAAAATTTTGATGAAAGACATGCCAAATGAGTTGAGTTATTAGATAAAAATGGCATCGAACACAACGAGAAACTCACAGAGCTTCTAGCCAAATCGGAAGCCAAAGAGCAGAAGATAGACGATCTTGAGGAAGCCATTGATTCCAAAGCCAGAAAGAGGCTTGAAATCATTAATGACCAGAGAGTTATGGATAAAAGAGTTCTTGATACTACAGAAAGCTCCAGTCAAGAGATCCATAAGCTACTCCAACTCTTGGGCAAACTCATTCTACAAAAAGGCGATCTCCAAATCGCAATTGCTGAAAATGACTCTGATATTGTTAACAGCAAAATTAACCTCTCAAATCTAAAGGCAAGTCAGGGAAAGGATATCTCGAAGACAAAAGGTAAACCCTTAGCTGAAAAAGTGAAGATCCTAAGATATATAAACACAAATCTAACAAAATCTCAAAATTCGTATGAAAGAATTCTGAGCTTGCTCAACAAAACTAGATCAGACCTCCCTCGAATAAATTACTCAAATGGGAGAAAAGCCTTCAATGCTGACCTAGAAGATCTTCGTACGGAGTTAAAGAAATACAAAGACCTTGAAATGTACTTGAAAAAGTCCAAAAGAGACTCAGAATATGGAGCCCAAAAGGAAATTGATGAATGAAATAGACTTTTACAACAAAGAAAACGAAATTCTGAGAAACTCACAGAAATTCTTAGCAACATAATCAAGATAAATATCGAAATTGCTCAGAAGGAAAAACAAGTCAAAGAGCTTGAAGGCAAACTTCTCCTTGCTAATTTTGGAGATCTTGAGAAATACAAGCAAGATTTAGAAAGAATCCTAGCTGAGCTCCAACACAAGCTTGAGAGTCTGTCTCAAAGACAAGGGAAGAACCATGATGACCTTATTATTCAGATCGAACAGAAAGACAGGATAATAGTTAGGCTTGTAAACCAACTGAGAAATCTTGATGATAAGATACTCTACGTTAAGAATAACAAGCCCAAATCTAGAGAAAAGAAAAACGTACATGAGCAGACTCTCTCAGAAGAGAAGGAAACCAGAATAAAACCTATTAATAGTTGCCATCTTAGGACTAAAAGAGTTAAGGAAAGTGATCTTATCAGTAAATCTACTTCAAATTTTATGAAATATTCTCGCAATATGCCAGCTTCTCTCAAGAATTCACCTAATGCTTATCAGAGGAACTACACTCACGAAAGGACATTCACCCATGTTGCCTCTGATCTCAGAGGAGATAGTCCTCTTCGAAGAGTTGCCAGGGTACATTATTCATCAGGCAAGAATGAAGACCAGGACTACAATTACAGACAACTCAAAGAGATATTCTCTGAGAGAAAAGCAAAGCAGGAAGAAAGAAGCAGAGAGAACGGCTCCTTCATAAGAAACCCTTACAGATGTCAATACCACCTCGAGCATTCCAATGATATGAATAGTACTTACTCTCAGAGCTACAATAGGTACGAATACACCCACACAGTTTCTTCAGGCAGTTACAAAGTGTTCGTACCTTCTGATGAAGAACTGAAGAATCTCATCCCTGAAAGCATTTTCTCCAGAGTCAAAAAGACAGGATATTCGGATTATGAAATAGACAGATACCCGTTCACATTTCTAAGAGATCAAAAAGGAGACACATATGCACAAAATAATAAAGGAATCTACCCCCTCCACAAGTTCCTTGAGAGGTTTAAACAAAAGACAGAGAATGGGGTACATACCTACTCGCCTGCTCACACCCACAGGGCTCATCTAAGACATGCTTATCATAGTTTAGTTTAAACCAGCTAAAATTTTCCACAAAGCCCTTCCAAAAGGGGTTTTGGGGTTTTGGGGTTTTGGGGTTTTGGGGTTTTGGGG